AGACGTTCAAAATACAAGCATTCATAATTAATATAAATCAGTTTTATTTTTATGCATCAACTAGCTGTGCCCCGCGGTTTCACCCGCGTATATCACGCGTCTGCGCCTTGCGACAAGCGAACTTCGAGAGAGACATCAGACGGACGGTTGCTGAATTAACAAAGATTTAAAAAGTGAAATATGTTACTAAAATTACATGGTTAACGTAATTGGTGGTTATGGATGATACAGGTACTGATACGAATAATGTGGCCTAGTTTGTACCGGCGTTACTATTTCACATTTTAACATGAAAAAGTAATTATTGTGACATAACTGTAATAGTTAAACATATGGTATCGCAGACTTTTTTGTAGATATTGATATCCTCTTTAAAACTGAAGTACATTACTTTGCTCTATTGTCAATAGTTTCCGCAGCGTACCCGATATAAGGATTCTTTTTGGAATTTTTTTCACACCTTGGGTTACATTAACCAAGTTTTCATACGGATCCCTAACTTTTTGAAAATATTATATAGCCTATGTTCATCATGAATAATGTAGGATTCTAATGGTGAACGAATTTTTCAAATCGGTCCAGTGGTCTCGGTGCCTATTCAATTCAAACAAACAAACAAACAAACAAATCTTTCCTCTTTATAATAGTAAAAAAAAAACAAAAAACAAGTAGGATAAGTTTTCATAGCAAGATCTGCTTTTGCGATTTCCCAAAAATCGTCTTTTTTGAGTTAATAGTATTCCATTAAGCCTGCGATATATACTGGCGTCATGGAGTATAGAGTAGAAAGAGGACCATCTCTGTATTATATGAATAAGTGTCCGTAAAAACGCGTCCAATAAGGGTGGCGCTGTGGTAGCATAGGCTAAATTTAAAAAAAAAGCGCCAAAAGGAATTAGAATAAGATGGAGAAATAAACAAGGGCCGACCAATCCGCTTGGTTTTGGCGCAGTTTTCAAACAAAGTATATTTTCGGAGCACACTCATATGATATAATATGATTTATAAATTTACACTATAATTTACACTGTGACTAATTTTGATTTATCTATGTGTGTGCGTTTACTAGTGATGCACATTTTACTTGCTAGGACTATCGAAAAAATAATTTGTTAAGAAAGCGGTAAAAAGATTTAAAAAAAATAGTTAGTGCAATAAATTGAACAGCTGCAAAAATTAACTGAATTTTTACCATGCTAGTTCTGAAATAATTAAAAATATTCATATAACATGTTCCTTCGAATAACCCGAACCTCCCAGGTGACCACCGATAAACTTAAAAAAAATAATTCCCCAAGAATCAGATCGGAAAGTTGTATTTTCGAGTAATGATCTTTGGAGAAAAATATTTACTACCATGGACAGTTTCCCCGGAATTTCTTCTTTAACATATTGTTAATATAAATAAGTAGACACTTAACTACGTATACACCTACTTATATTTTTAAAATGGTTTGATGGGGAAATAAAAAAACAGGGCACGGAGTAGATAGTGGCTGCTTTATTTTTCACATAAGTATTACTTTCGACAGTTACAAACATTTAATAATTAAATACATTATAGAAGTTTATTTTAACATTCGACTTAAATATGAATGTAAATTTAATAACTTAAGTAAGGACACTTGTAGGAATCAGTTAAATAAGATTGCTCTGTTTAAAAGCCAATATGTTTATGAGGCTTCATCATGTTTCATGTTTTTATTATTTCACCTGTCCCTGAAAAGGATAAAGTAATAATAAACTTATTATCATTTTAGCTGCATGAACCTTAAAAAACATAATTCTCTTGACAGAGTAAATTGTACCAAGTGTCTGAGGATACAGATGCACTCTCTATTCTCTCAATCTCGGTATGTTAAGAAAATAGCCACTCATTCATGGACTGATCGCGGCAAGTGCAACTTGATCTCGCAGCTATTACTTAACCACGAGTTCCTCTTCTCTACGACTAACACTGTAGGCGATGAACCACGCTATTTAAGCCCTCGGCACAATGTCGTCAGCCATCAAGCATGAATCGGGCATCGAACGTTGTGAGTATCAAATACTATAGTAATTATACTATCGCGTCTCATATGTAAGCCTAACTACGCTAAAAGTTTTATCATTGTGAATTGGGATTATAATACGAAGCTCCGCTTAACCCCTTGGGGAAAAGAGCGTGATGCTATGAATATTATACTAGTGTCATCGGGAGGCTGTGTGATTGGTTAAGTAAGGTTATACATTTATTTTGGTTGATAAATAGATACTTAGTTGGGTTCATATTGCTTTAAAGAGGATAATCTCAAGATTTTTTTATCTTTAATGTACTACAGTTTTATAATGTATAAAAATCTGTCTCTATTTTTATGTAAAGTTTTTAAAGTTTAATTTTTAGTCTTATTATAACAATATTATACTTACTGATACAAATAATGTAGAAATGACTCATTGCAATAAAATTGTTTTTATTCAACTTTTTTTTATAGTTCTCAAAAAAATGTTTGCTGAAAATTGTTGAGTTCTTCTTTGGATTGCAACCAACCTGTCCTTAAATATTTTTTATAATTATAGAATCCGGAGGTAATCTGTTTGACAAAAAGCAAAATAAAATAACATTTTAGAACGCAAACCGAGGATTTATTTTGTTGGTTTGTGGGCAAGTCTATCGATTCATTATAAACATTCAACATAATTATCGACATTAATGTTGATATAGTATAGTCAATCCCTAGTGTACATGTAAAATATTTTGTATAAAAATGTATTTACCAAATATATAGAAATTATCTACAACGTGACTTTATTCTTTGCGAAATATCAAAATTAACAAAATAATTAAAACATTCTATATTTTAAACAGTATATAACATAAATTTTAATCAAAAATAAACGCGTCATAAAATTGACGATGTCTTGAGAATTTACCTGTGAATTGTGCAATTATCAGGATTATTTCTCGTATTAACACTTCACTTACAGATCAAGTAACCATTTTGGAAAAAAAGTTACTTGCTAAAAATAACCAATAGTACACTCTAAAAAATTTGTCATGAGATTTGGTATCCTTTTCTATCTTGCATTTTTACCATATGGAATTTTCTTCTCCCTTTATAATGCAATTGAATTGATTTTGGCCTAAGTCAAAGGCTAGTTCTTATATGAAATGTAAAGCAAACATATTATTATTAACTCTACTTTTAACACACACGAGATGAAAATATCTTATTTTTTGTGAAGAAAATGGAAGGTTTGCGGAATGAAGCATGTACCTATGTCACAAAGGATAATTGGGCAAAATTGGTCTAGAAAATAAAGAAAATTATTATGGATGACTTTGAAAGAGACATTCATTTTGACATTTTTGAAAATCCAATAATAATTAATCTAAACAACGACAGCTCGACTATGAAAGTGACTGAATATTTTTTTTAATCTAATTTCAAAATTTAAATTTATGTAACTTTTCCTCTAGAAATAAGCAGTAATAATAAATTATAAGAAACTGATAAATCTTGTATTTTAAATTATCCATTTCAAATTTATTCTGGTATTAATCGATACAAAACTGTAAATGATTACAAACTTTGAACTTTAAATGATTACCAATTTTTTAACACGTGGTAGAGCCGTGCTGCAGCTATATTAGTAGTATAGTTGTAGCACGAATGGGTCGGCTCGTCCGGGGAAGGACCACGCTCTCACAGAGTATATAAAATAGCAGCTTAAAGCGTCTCCCACACAGAAGCGGCTTGCGGTAGCGGCCGCGGTGGCGGCCAGTTGTATTCGCTTGCAATGTAAGTGAGTCTGCAAACTCGTGCGGCCTTGTCGCGATCTGCGAGCGGCTGGCCGCGGCCGCATGCTCCGCCCCATTTGCCAATGCGTGTGTGTCAGCGAGTACGCGGTCAGTTGTAAGTTTTTACAACAGGCCGCGTGTACCGCGTGAAAAATGGTGCTAAATGTAGAGATTTTAATAGAAACAGTGCAAAATTATCCGTGTACTTTATGATAATTCGCATCGTGATCACAAAAGCATTGGTATTAAAACAAAATATATGATAATATTGCTGAATGTAATAAAAACATAATCACGGTTTATCATGTTCATACAACCGATCGTAACACAGACACCTCAGCGAATGGCGCTTCAGGCCGCCACTTGGGCCGCGGTGGTGTGTTGTTACAGCGGCTGCAGCCGCGGCCCGCGGTTAGCCGCCACCGCAAGCCGCTTGTGTGTGGGAGACGCTTTACACTGCTGTGTTTTGTATGTGAGTGTAGAGAACCGGAGACCTTTTTTACTGGAAAAGGCATTACATCTTAGTCCTCACGGGTGACAACGCATCTGTATTTTGATTCCTTATTGAGGATAGATGTAGATGTCTATGGGTCGCAGCAGCCGTCTACCATCAGATGGACGGTGCGCTCGTTTGTCACCCTATCCTATAAAAAAATCTAAAAAATCGATATCGACTTTTCTAAAGAATCGAATATTGTACGTACCGATTTTTGGTTGTCATGCCTAGTCCAATAAGTCTGGTAGCTATCAAAAGGTATTTATTAGATTTGGTTGAGTATAATTTACGCCTAAATTTGTGTTAATATATGCAATAAAAACGAATTTTTGGTAGCTCGTGACTTTTTAATGGCTTTTTATTTTACTATTCTGTTTCCACACAGACAAAATTAATAATGAGACAAAACAATATCATGTTTAATTTTGGATGTACGATGTCAAACAGCGCAGTAATACCCTCCCGAAATTTCTATGGAAAAAATGTCGATTGTTGACAAGTGTCACCATAGACTGCTAAAGTGTTTAAATTCTTTATGGCTGAGAGCCTTATAGTTATTGCCATAATAAAATAAATCCATATGTGATCTGTGGTCGACATTTGTTGACATTTGACATTAGTTGACAATTAAATCATAGACCGAGTGGTTATGAGTTTGTCTTTATTAATTGGTTGCTGGTTTCGTTTTTCTTTAGTTAAAATTTATATGTATAAAATATTATAATGCTTCCTTCAACGGGTTATTTTAATGGTCTCAATTGTCCTTTTTATGACAGTGGTCTTTGCGAGCGTCCTTATTGTCATTTTCGTCATGTTAGGAAGGAGCCCCAAAACAACGATGGTATTGAAAGCGGAACAATTTTACAAAAGTTGGTATCCGCAGCAGTTCAAAAGGTGCTACAGCAAACAGAAGCGTCAGGAGCGTCGTCACCTGTGCAAACTTCCGAAGCTGATGAAGTATCAAAGTCTAACAATATGTTGTCAATATCAAAAGCAATATACAATCCAACGCCTATATCAGAACTCAATAAAATTAACAATGTTGATTCAGAAAACAATGAAGACCTAAATGAACAGAGAAGGAGGCATATTCCAGTACCTTACACTCCTAGAAAGCCTACTAGTTTAGCAATTAAGAGACCAGTTGAAGTTAATGGTTCTTTCAAACCTTTTGTGTTTATACCTCCACCTATAAAATATACTCCAGGATGTACAGAGAATGCACAACTTGATCCATACACACCTAAAGGCTCTGTGGAATCAAAGGAAAAATATTTACCTGGAAAAGAGACGGAACTCCAAGAGTACAAGCCTAAAGAGACACAGTCTTCTACAAAACGGAATTATGTCCCTTCAGACAAAACGGCTAATAAAAAAAAGATATTGGAGTATAAACCTATTAAGGTCACTGCAAACACTGAAACTACAAAAGTCACATATCAACCAACACCACGATCATTGGCACCATGTTTTTCTAGTGACGAAGATGATCAAGAGCCTGACCATAAAAAAAGAAAATTGTCATATGATTTAAATGGATTAGATGATTTAGGACCTGAGTTTGATATATTGGATCAGATATTGGATGAAGAGAAAACTGATGGGGATAGTAACCTAAAAGTCATGAGAGTTAACCAATCAGCGGAACTTAAAAATAATAAAGAGATTGATAAAACTGAATCTAAAGATACTAAGAAGAACAGCAAAGCAATTGATACAAGGAAAAATGAAGCAAAAGAAAGTAAACAACCAGATGGAAGTAAATCAAAAAATGTAGAAAAATCAAAAACACATGATAAACACTCAAAGCATAAAACATCAAGTAAGGATTCTAAAAAAAGTTCAACCCACAAAAGTTTGAATAATGATAAAGATAAGAATAATAAAACTGAGACAAAGAAACATTCACATTCAAAGAGTTCAAAACATAAAAGTAGCTCATCTAAAAGTTCAGAAAAGCATTCTAAGTGTGTAAAAGAAGATTCCAAAAAAAAGGATGATTCTCATAAACAACAAAAAAGTCATAAAAGCTCAAAGCACTCCAAAGAAAAGCATAAAGAATTAAATAAAGATATTTTGGATAATAGTCCAGAGTTACAAGTAGATGATGATGAACCATTAGAAATGTCAGATCCAGATGAAGAAAGCATTGCTTTAGAATGTAAAAAAATTTTTGAGGAATATGTCCCTGCAGAAAAGCCTAAATGTATTAAAGAAACTGTCTCGATACAAGAAGACAATGAGGAAACTGATGAATATGTGCCTGCTAAAAAAAGGGTATCAAGAACAGTTGATAAAAATATAAAAGTGACACCAAGACCACAAGTCAAACCGAACTTTAAGGTAAATGCAGCCCAGGCAATGGCTGACAGGTTAACAAAAATTAGAGAATTTCATGCTTCAAAAATTCAGCTCAAATCTCCCGAAATACCACATAAGCCTCCAGACGTTCCAAAAAATAATATTTTTGCTACTCCGCCCAGTGGCAACACAAAGATTCGAATTGCTCATGTGCCTTATGCCTCAACATTAGTTAATGCAAAGAAAATCATTTCACATAATGTTGACAATAGTAAAAGTATTCCTTCCACTAGTTGTACAGCAATACAAACTGTTAAAAAAGGTACCCAAAGAGTGGCCCACATGCCCAATGAAAAGTTCATTGATAGGCCTGGTGTGTTAGAGCCTCTGGCTTCAAAAATCCCTGCAAATATAAGATCCGTTTATTTAAATATGATGATAGATGAATGCCTTAAAATTTATTTGCTAGCACCAGATGCTTATGCTAGAGCCCAACATGAAGAATTAACAACAAGTAAAAAATGTTCTACCATTCAAATTTACAAAAATTCTGCTGTACTTACTGTAAGTAGGCTAAGAAAAGAATTACAAGAATGCAATGGTGTTAAAAAATCTGGCTCTGATTGTACAGCACTTCAAAGAATACCACAAAGCATATCTGGTACAACAAGTAGCGCTGGTTCGTGGAGCATAGAAAATAAGCACAGAAAGAATGTAGATGACACTTTGTACTTCAGTGGTCCAAAATTGTATAATAATATAAAAAAATGGATTTTGACAGAAGAGCAGTTGCAAGATAATGGCTTTCCTAGACCTCATAGTAGTGGAGAAAAGGGTAGAGCAATAATTTATGGTCAAAAGAAACAAAATCCACCAAAGGGTTATATAAGGACTTGTTGTAGATGTAAAAAAGACTATACTGTTGACAAGAAAGGTTTTCCTGCTGTCAAAGAAGAGTGTATTTACCACCCTAACAATAAATACAGAGTCCGTGGTGAGGCTCGGTATCAATGTTGTAGTCAAGATGGTACATCGGATGGTTGCTGTATAGCTTCCTGTCATGTGTATGAGTATGTAGATTATGAAAATTTAAAGGGTTATGTCCAAACTTTACCACCTGAAAAAGATATGGATGATTATGGTGTATATTCATTAGATTGTGAAATGTGTTATACAACACATGGCTTAGACTTAACTAGGGTTACTGTAATAAATTCAGATTGTAAAGTAGTTTACGAAACTCTTGTAAAACCTTTTCATCCTATTATGGATTATAATACTAGATACTCTGGAATTACTGAGGAACAAATGACTGGTGTGAAAACTACTTTACTTGAAGTTCAAGCTACCCTTCTTACCATGTTTAATAGTAAATCTATATTGATTGGTCATAGTTTGGAATCTGATTTCAAAGCTCTTAAACTCATTCATGACACAGTTATAGACACTAGTGTCTTATTTCCCCATAAAATGGGTCCCCCTTATAAAAGGGCGCTAAAGAATTTATCTTCTGAACACTTAAAAAAGATTATACAGAATTCAGTTGATGGGCATGATAGTGCTGAAGATGCAACTGTATGCATGGAACTGCTGCGTTATAAATTAAAAGAAGACTTGAAAACAAGGTGATTTTCATACTTTGTATGTATACATCTCTTAAAAGATGATTTATTTTGCATAGTGTAATTGAATACTGCAACAACATGAACTGATTTTTTATAATAGATATAGCTTATGTTAGAAGATATTATTTATGAGTATATAGGTACCTACGGGTTTACTGGTATTATAGCAATACTTCTTAAAAATTGTATAATTGTCCTATTTAAGTTCAAAACATATAAATATGTAACAAATGATCATTTTTCGATAAAGTTATTTTTTTTACAAAATGGGGTTTCATTTTGAATATGATTAAAGAAAGTTTTGCATTGTAACAGAAATATATTTTGTGTCACAGAATGCCAAGTTATAGTTTACAAAATCATACTTGTAACTTGTAGGCCTGCTAGCAAATCTATTAGCGGTGATAACCGTCTAGTCTAGGCGTCAGATTACCTGGTCACAATGCCTGGTTTCAGCATGTCAACGTCTACTTAACATGGCCTATGTTCAAATTCTTGACATCCAAATTGAGTTTAGATTGCCTAAAAGCGGTTTGTTTACCACAACCATAGTTGCCTCTTGGCAGGAGGGTTGGCAGTTACAGTTTTTTTTTTGCGTTTTAACTAGGAAGATACTCCTGTTTCAGTTTCCCTCTGTCCTTTCTTCAACACCCAGGAGATAATAGGTATCCAAGATGTGGAATTTACCCCACGACAAAAACCGAATGGGTTCGAACCCTAGGCAAACCATTTTGAAATGAAAAAATAAAAATATTTGTTTTCGCATTTATTTGTGGTTTCCCCGTAACAGTTTATCTGGTTTACCTCATCAAGCATGGGTAGGTCAGACTTGTAGCGTGTTATCTTTCCTTTTTTTTCTATTTATTTATATTGTAAAGATTTATAGGAGATATGTTATTAACCCGCCTGTCAAGCGTGGCAACTATAGCAAAATCCCTATAATAGGCAAAGACGTATTTAAACATCTTAGGCCCGCCACATACATATGGAATTCCGTTTCGATATTCCGATTCGAGAGTCCGAACGCAGCAAGTCCATATAAAATCTATGACCCGTCACACACGTACGGTAGTTTTCAGTTCGAAATTTTTCGGGCAAAACGGGAACCGTATGAGTGTGGCCGTTCGAAATTCCGAGACGGAATTCCGTATGTATGAGGCCGGCCTTAGATAAGAGGTAATCTATGAGGGACGTCCAGTCATCCAGTGGCCTATTTGATAGGCTGCGACTGTAACGAAATAATGAATTAATGGCCGGAGCCAAGTGTATTTTGAAATTTATGTTATGGTATATTATTTCATATATTTTTTTTCAATTTGAATGACATTTCTGACTATTCTGCAGATGTTTAAAGTTACAGCTTTCTGTAGGGTTATTATTATTATTTATGAGATACTTTGTAGACACTATTCTCATCTGTTGGGACTTATATAGAGATTATTATTATTCGGGGTAGTATTTCTATAGTATTTTCATCTGTTTGCGATGAATAAATATATATAATAAATGATAAGATAAAAAGTGTTGAGTATTTTTTTTTATAGAAGAGGGGGCAAACGAGCATGCGGCTCACCTGATGGTAAGTGACTGCCGCCGCCCTTGAACAACCGCAACACCAGGGGAATTGCAAATGCGTTGCCGGCCTTTTAGAAAGGTGTAAGCTCTTTTCTTCAAGGTTCCTAAGTCGTATCGGTTCGGAAAATTCGCTGGTGGTAATTGATTCCACAAGGAAGTTGTGCGAGGGATAAAACTTCTTCTAAATCGCACAGTGGTGGATCGCCAATCATCCAGATGGTATGGATGGTAACGCGAGTTTTGTCGCGATGTGCGATGGTGAAATTGAGCGGCTGGAATTAGTCCGAACAATTCCTCAGAGCACTCCCTGTGATAGATGCGATAAAATACACAAAGAGATGCAACATCTCTACGCAGTGCCAGTGTATCGAGCCGATCAGAAAGAACTCGGTCGTCGACAATTCGAATCGCTCTGCGCTGGATGCGGTCAAGTGGAAGGAGCTGGCACTGGGGTGCCCCGGCTCAGAGATGAGAACAATATTCCATGTGGGGCCGAACTTGCGCTTTGTAAAGTTGCAAGCGATGTGCCGGCATGAAATACTGTCTCGCTCTGCTGAGCACGCCAAGCTTTTTAGAGGCCAATTTGGCCTTCCCTTCCAAGTGACCACGAAACTGCACACTATTCGATATGTCGACGCCAAGGATTCCGATACTAGCTGAGGCAGCAAGGGGAGTGCCTTGAAACTGAGGAGATACGACAAAGGGGTTCTTTTTAGCGGTAAACGCGAAACTTGTGTCTTCTGGGGATTGAACTGAACTAGATTTAGTCGCCCCCAATCCGAGACTAGCTCGTTCTAGACTTGTTCCACTAGCCTACTACGTCAAAACCGTACTGGCGGTCACTAATCAGCTCATGATCCTCAAGGTACCTCATGAGCTGGCAGTTTATAATGAATTCCATTATTTTGGAGAACAAGGAGGTGATGGCAATAGGCCTGTAGTTGGACGGGTCTGAGCGGTCGTCTTTTTTAGGGATCGGGTGGACCAAAGCTGTCTTCCATGAATTCTAGACTACGCCTTGGGAGTAGGAGTACCGGAAAAGACGCGTTAAAACCGGTGCCAACTCCGGAGCACACGTCTTCAGCACAATGGGAGGGACTCCATCGCGCCCACTCGACTTGCTGACGTCCAGGGAGAAGAGTGCTTTGCGAATCGAGCGCTGTGTAAACCGCACATCAGGCATGGAACACTCACATTGCGGGATGGTCGGCAGTGTGTTCCCCCCGTCATCTAGAGTCGAGTTGAACGCAAAAAGAGAGCTCAACAGATCGGCTTTCTCATTTGCGGCATGGGCCAGTGAGTCGTCCTTTCTGTGCAGAGATGGAAGAGATGGCTGACAGAGGTTCCCTTGGACAGTCTTGGCGAGAGACCAGAATGCACGGGTTCCCGAAGGAAGGCGAACTAGCTTCTCGCCAATTCTGCCGATGTGCTCAGACCTTGCCTTGGCAATGACGCTTTTGAAGGACCTGGTGGCGGGGTTATACTTCTTTTTAAGTGCGCTGGTGTTTACATCCCGAGACGTTGATGCGTCAGCCCAGGCCTGGTAGCACTCCTGCTTATAGCGTGATGCTATTTTGCTGGAGCGACCAAACCATGGCTGGGATCTGCCACCGATGGGCACCACAGAGGATGGAATAAAAAGTTCCATACCCTGAAGTACCACATCAGCAACAGAATCGGCAACTACGCTGGGATCTTCCGGCGAGAAGCAAACCCGCACCCAAGGGTAGGATGCAAAAAAAGACCGCATCCCGTCCCAATCAGCTGACCTATAGTGCCAAACACGGCGGCAAGCTGCAGATCGCAACTGCGATTGGAGCGTGAGTGGCACCGTACTCCGGAACAGACAGTGGTATGAAGAGCCAGATGGGAGGTCAGCAGAAGGTCCAACAGGGAAGGTACATGGTCTTCCACATCTGGGATCCGCGTAGGCGAAGTAACCAGTTGTGTTAGACCATATGCCAAAGCAAAGTCATAGACGCATGATCGGTTAAACGAGAACCAAGCCATTCAGCGTGGTGGGCGTTAAAATCACCGAGTATAACGATCTCTGTGGATGGGACCTGTTGTAGCACGGAGTCTGCAGCCATTTGGACGTGGTCGATGAGTCGGTCTGTGTCGGCATTACCGCTATGGGACCTATAGAGGCACCCGTAGACGCGGGGATGGTCGTCGCTGTTTCAAGAGTGCCGAGGCGTCGAAAACAGATGTCCTCTCTGACGTATACGCAAACTCCAACCCGGGGCACAAAGGAGTACCCCGGGTAGGAGAGATATGAAGTATCAGCCGGAGAGGACACCTGAGTCTCGGTTAAAAAGAGCAAGGCCGGTTTCGCCGTCTCTAGATGGTAATGGACAGCGTTAAGGTTGGAATGAAGGCCCCTGATGTTGCAAAAATTCACGGATAGCGTGACAGGGGTCGCCTTGGTTGTATTGCTTCGCTTGCTCCGAGCAGCATTAGTCGCGAGCGGAATTTTGCCCCCCCCAGAATACGCGGGGCAGCCTGAGCACCCACGCTCAGGAGTGAAGTAGTTTCGTCGTGGATGCTCAGCGAGGGATTCTCCAGGGGTGCTGGTACCCTCCTGGGGTAGTCTTTTATTTAATTCCACTACCATGTTGATGGGCGGGGGGGGGGGGGGATTGGGCCTCCGGCCACCTGCACTCACTAAGCGCAACGCAAAGGTAAACCTCTACTTCACGCTGGTATTCTGTGAGGTCGTGGTACCACCCCGGTTCGAGCTGGTCCATCCGTGCGTCAGCAAAAGCTAACGCTTAGCTCTACCACTGTTAAAATTATAGTACAATAATGTAATAAATAAGAACCCAACAAGATTGAAAGCCCTATCGGCAGGGGAGACCAAACAGTCGAAGTTAAGGGGGAAAGAGAAAGAAACCGGCGTACGATATTGAGGAACACCGCCGCAGGTCCGTCACGGCGTCTTTAGATGATCAGTCAAGGTCTCGGACCGGGGTTAGCCAGATTAATTTCGGTAGGCAGACCGCCCCACTTCCTTCGCCAACTGGACGCCTCACTTCGTGACCCAGGTCCAGTTATCTTAATATTTTGTCTTCGGATCCGTTTCAGTTTTCACGAGATTTTCGTTATATGGAATGGTAATGTCGACTAAAAATATGCTTGTCTGTGTCTGGTCCATCACTACAATATCAGGTTTCTTCACAAAAATAGTTCTGTCTGTGATGATGGCCCGTTCGAAATAGACCCTGGCGTGGTCATTTTCGAGCACGGATTCCAGCAAGTACTTGTAATAAAGCAATTTCTGATCCACGAGACCGCCTACTAACTGCAAACAATCAGTGTAAGAAAGCGCCAAACAACCGGAGATTAAGTACATGCCTAAGCGTCTTACTGGGATGGCGTCAAGCTCGACGGTGCCATCCTTCAGGATGTATTACCGACAATTGTTGGTCT